GTTGCCTACTCCTGCCCTATACCATCTCAGACAAATGATTGTTCAATCTCTTCTCAGAAACGTTGATAAATAAAATAAATCACACATAATTCTGGCTTTTCTTCTCTAATTCTCCTAAATAACTGTGGCAGCCTTGTGTTTTGACTCTTCCAGTACTTCTTTGCTGCCTATTAGAAAGACTTGAGCACAGCAGTACCCAAAGTGGAGGAATGGAGTGAGAAAAAAATCAGAACCCACAAAAATGGAAAAAAGCGACCTGTTTGCTCAGAGGAAAAAAAAACCAATAGAACTTTTTTTGGGGAAAAGACTAGAAACTTCACATGGAATTTCTGCTGAAAGAAAAAAAAATTAAGAAACACTGGATCGTGAGTTCGGATAAAGATGGACAAAATGAAGGGCTGAAGGAACTTCTATAATATGTAAAAGGGAGGAGAGCTTATAAAATTGCAACTCTCTGTTGAAAAGAAAGTGGAAAGTCAGTATATAATAATAATAATAATAATAATAATAATAATAATAATAATAATAATAATAATAATAATAATAATAATAATAGTAAAGTTGGAAGGGACCTTGGGGGTCATCTAGTCCAACCCCCTGCTCAGGCAGGAAACCCTATAGCATTCCAGACAAATGGCTGTCCAGTCTCTTCTTAAAAACTTCCAGTGTTGGAGCATTCACCGCTTCTGGAGGCAGGTGGTTCCACTGGTTAATTGTTCTGTCAGGAAGTTTCTCCTTAGTTCTAGGTTGCTTTTCTCCTTGATGAGTTTCTCCACCCGTTGCTTCTTGTCCTGCCTTCAGGCGCTTTGGAGAAGAGTTTGACTCCCTCTTCTTTGGGGCAGCCCCCCGAGATACTGGAACACAGCTATTGTCAAGTCTGCTAACATTGGATGTTATTGCTTGACATAAGTGAAGAAGCAAACATATCTATTTAGTCTACATATTGCCTCAAGAGCAAAAGCAGGCATTGCGGGCCAGATGAGGGGGGAGAAATGCCTGTGAATAACTACATTATCTTAGCATAGCACAGCCAAGGTCAAAGCAGCAGCAATTTGTAATAACAGATAAGACGAGAAGAAGTTTCACACCTCTGTTTAATTGGAGCATATGATTGATGACTGTGAAAGGAGGGAGGGAGTTGTGCTTGTCGCGAGAGCTAGGATGGGGGGGTGTTTCAGTTTTTGGCTTTACTTCGTTCGTGCCGGATTATGTAACTCATTAAAGGATTCTTTAAGGTAATTATGCCTTAAAGTTCTCTGAAAAGTTATTTCTTTCGGAACCTGACAGCTATCATGTCTTAACTTCTTTTCTTTCTTTTTTTTGTTCACTTCTTGTGTTCTTTCATTTTTTTTCCCTTTCTCCTTTTTTTTCTTGATTTGTCCTTTAGTGTGTGGAAAAAAATGTAAATAAAATTTAAAAATAGTGCAGAGAGCAGGTGTGACTGTGTGTTCTTAAACGTCCTCTACAGCAGTCCCAAAGCTGCTTTTTTTCACGAGGCAACTGGACTTTCTTGTTTTTCCTTGGAAGACGTTTCGCTTCTCATCTCGGGAGCTTCTTCAGCTCTGACTGGAGGGTGGGGAATGGAAGGATTTATACTCCTTGCAGACCGCTGGTCATTTGCATTCTTTTACAGAGGCGTTGAGGCCACCTGGAGGCTTACCTGTGTCCTCAGGGTCACCTGAGTGGCGTAAATGGGTGTGGAGCCTTCTTGCAACTGCTGAAAGGACTGTCTATAGTCTACAACACAGTCCTTTCAGCAGTTCCAAGAAGACTCCACACTCATTTACACCACTCAGGTGACCCTGAGGACACAGATAAACCCGATACATTGCGCGACATCACGTGACGTCATGAGTTTGGCATGTCTGCTATAGGTTCTCCTGCTTGAGCAGGGGGCTGGACTAGAAGACCACCAAGGTCCCTTCCAGCTCTATTCTGACTACTATAAATAACCACCATCATAAAACATAAGTCTATGAACACCACGACTCTTATATTCTTAGATGCCGGAACACTATCTTAGATGCCGGAAACTGACCGGTCACTGCGTCATCTTGGTACAGGTTGGTTTTGAGGAGATCATAGACATCTTGACGTGCTGTCCCCATGGCAGCCAAGCCCAGCCCCAGGCTTCCCCCGTGCCGAACAATCTGCAAAAGAAATAATAATAAAATAATAATAAGCAAGAGGACCCTTTGGGCTCCAATCCTGGAGAGAAGGCAGCCGAGTCTGGGAACTGAAGGAACCGCTTTTCAAGGAGGAGGAAAGAGGAGGAGGAGGACGACGACTATGGGGGTTTTGGTGCTCTCTCAGCTTGGTTGTTTTCTAGCAGACGTTTCATGACCCAACTAAGGAACATCATCAGTGCAAGAGGGAAGAGGAAGAAGAGGAAGAAGAGAAAGAAAGAAAGAAAGAAAGAAAGAAAGAAAGAAAGAAAGAAAGAAAGAAAGAAAGAAAGAAAAGGAGGAGGAGGAGGAGGAGGAGGAGGAGGAGGAGGAG